TCCTCTTTCTTCCCTTCTCCCCATCTCTTCCTGTCCTTCCTTTCCTTTTCTCCGTGCCAAATTGGGAGACTGGCACTCACTGGCCTGAGAGAACTAGAGATCCGGCCAAGAGAGGAGCCTGCCCTGTGCCTGGCAGGGCTGAGCAAGGTCAGCAGGTGCACCTCAGTGATTTATCTTTGGGAACCAGGAGGGCCCAGGAAGAAATGAGGGAAATGCTGCTCCTTGCATTTAAGGTACTTTGGCGACAGGAGAACTGGATCCCGAGTCTCAGAAAGTACATCAACGTGGATGCCAACAGACTAGTAGCGAGCACCTTCTAGAATGGGTTAGTAAAGAAGCTATGGGAAAGGAGATTCTTAAAGGCCAAACTGGACCTGCCTCCTCTTTTCTGACAGGTTTACTAGACCTAGAAGCTACAAGGAACGCTGTAGACACAGTGGGTCTGGGTGTTGTGAGGCAGTTGACAAAATTGTTGGTGATATCCCTACGGGGAAGTAGAGAATGTGATCTGGGGACAGACGTGCCTATGGCTTCCTAGTTAGTGGGGCCACCAGAAGTAAAGGCTTCTGAGGAGGGGACTTGATAGGTGGTATCCAGGAAACTTCATCCACATCCTCCTCCTCAGCAAGGCCGTGCTTGGCAGGAGAACTTAGCCTTATCTGATATCCTTTTTCTTTTTTAAAAGAGAACATGCTTTGGGGCACCTGGGTGGCCCAGTTGGTTAAGCATCTGCCTTTGGCTCAGGTCACAATCTCAGGGTCCTGGGATCGAGTCCCTCATCAGGCTCCCTGCTCAGCGGGGAGCCTGCTTCTCCCTCTGCCTCTGCCCCTCACCCAGCTCGTTCTCTCTCTCTCTCTCTCTCTAATAAATACATTTTTTAAAAAAATAAATAAAGGAGAATGTGCTTTTTTTTTAAGGTTTTATTTATTTATTCATGAGAGACACACAGAAAGAGAAAGACAGAGACACAGGCAGAGGGAGAAGCAGACTCCATGCAGGGAGCACGACGTGGAACTTGATCCCGGGTCTCCAGGATCACATCCTGGGCTGAAGGCAGCCACTGAGCTGAGCCACCTGGGCTGCCCGAGAATGTGCTTTAATGTTACATGTGTAAATCAAAATCGTTTTAATTTAAATATTTTAATATAACTTTCTAATAAAATTTAGTTACTAAAACCACATACATTTATTTATTAAAGATTTTATTTATTTATTCATGAGAGGCACAGAGAGAGAGAGAGAGAGAGAGAGAGAGATTGGCAGAGACACAGGCAGAGGGAGAAGCAGGCTCCATGCAGGGAGCCTGACGTGGGACTCGATCCTGGGTCCCCAGGATCACGCCCTGGGCTGAAGGTGGCCCTAAACCGCTGAGCCACCTGGGCTGCCCAAATCACATACATTTAATAAGAAAATATCCTTTTGATGCTTCCCCACCTTTGGGAAGGGAAATTTCCATCATCTAAGTTCTTTGTGCTGAACTGATTGCAAAAATTGCTAGAATTAGTCCCCCGTTCCTATATATCCATAGGACCAAGACCTTGTGGCATCTTCCATCAAGAGATGTCCCTGTCAAAAAAAAAAAAAAAAAAAAAAAAAAAAAGAGATGTCCCTGTTCCTCGAGTCCCTGTTCCTCGAACAGAGGGGTCTAGCCACTTGCTGTGGCTAATCAAACGGGGGAGTGGTGGTATAACAGATCTCAACCCAAGTCTTGAGTAGCTGAGCGTGTGTTTTCACTTTCCCTCTGCCACCTTGATACCACCAAGCCCAGGCTCGCCTGCAGTGTGAGAAGAAACACTCACGTTGACACCCAGCTGACAGCTAGCACACTGCCGGCATGTGAGCAGGGCCAGCCAGCCCCAGCCAGCCCCAAATCTGCCACCTGGCCCCTGACAAGTGAACAAGCCCAGTCGAGATCGGACAGGCCTGGCCCCGATCGGCAGAACTTTCCAGCCTATCTGTTGACTCGTGAGCAATAATAAAGGCTTATTATCTTAAGTCACTGTGTTTGGGGTTGGTTTGCTACATAGCAAGAGCCAATTGTTACAGGCCGCACGCACCTCCTGCTCTATCTGTCTTGCTACGCCGGCACTCACACTCTTTGCCTCAGCGATGTTCTGAACAAACCGTCCTGTTTGTTCCTCAGCCTCACAGATGCAAAACCTCTGCCTGGCCTGCCCACCTGCTCCCTCCCCCATCCTTCATCTGGCTGATTCCTCTCCTCCCTGGAGCCTCATCTCAGGCATCACCTTTTCAGCATTCCCAGGGCCCCCCTTCCTCCAGCCTCTCCCCACTTCCTGCCTCTCCTGCGTGTTGCTGGTCCTCATTGCGCCTCCGTCACAGCCCCTACCCTAGGTTACAGCATCTGTGAATTCAGCTTTCCCTTCTTGCTTCACTAGGAATTCTTTGAAGGTAGAAATCTTGTCCGCGGTCTGTTACTTCAACAACTACTTCAATTCCTTACATGCGGTCAGGACTCTCAAAGTGTTTGTGCCATGGTATGGTTAAGTGTGCCAACGAGCTAACGAACAAACCCAAAACAAGAGAGTGTATTTAGTCTTGAAAAGAGAAGATACAAAGGGCATTAATGATGCAAAGTTAATATATCTACCATGAGCTTGGGGATAGGTACAGGTCACCAAGTAGGTCTTCAATGGTCCAGCGCAACCAGTTGATACCTTTCAGCTCCTTTAGCCACCCACTCCTCACAGGCAACAGGTGCTCTTCAAAGCCGAGGTCACCACTGATGAAAATGCTTGTCTCTGTGAGGAGTCCCTGAAAATATCCTATGAAATCTGTCTTTTAGCTGGGGCCCAAGATCATGCATCACAATGCCTGGGAAGCCTGTGGAAGCTTCCATCCACAACTGAGCTGCTGTTTCCATCACGTTGAGGAAAGGCAATCCTACACACAATATGACGAGAGCACCCACAGCATTTACTGGTCACCTCAAGGAAAAGACTCCAAAGTAACAAGATAACTTTCTTCAAAGAATTTTTTCAGACTCGTCATATGGAAGAGAAACCCTCTGTCAAGAATCCTAAAAAAGCCAAGCGAGGACCAGTGGAGGTTGAAGTCAGATATGTGTCTGAGGGGGTCTCCTAATAATTAGATTTGTTTTAAAATGGAGTGAACAACTCATAAGAAATGGTGCCCCTTTTTTTGTCCTTGGAGATGTCCAAAGAGAAACTGGCTGACAACAAGGAAGTTTCATGCTCTGGAGTCCCCTGTGCGTGGCTATTCAGCAAAAGATAGCTCCATTTGAGAATTACCATGTGCCCGCTTCCCAGGAACTATCTGCACTGATGAAGTGCGGTAAACATGTGTGATGATGCCTGCTTAACTCCAAGACTCTTTTCATGCAAACGGCATTACAGCCTCAATCATATTTGCAGAGAACACCATCCTCCAGCTGGACTAAACAGACCAGAGGTGGACACTTGACACAAGCCTGAATGCCAAAGATGGAAACTTGGGGATCGTGTGGACACAGAGAGCTGCTCTGCTGAGACACACACAAATAAATGCTGAGCGAGCAAATACTATGTGCCAGGCACTGTTCTAGGCGTCAGTGAGCCTGCAGGAAACAAACCAGATAAAAATCCCTGTTTCACGAAACTCACATTCAGTACAGGGCCAGGAAACAAAGATAAGAGGCAGAGAGACAGCAAAAGAACAAGGCCTCAGTTTCCTGGCAGGCCCCTGAGAATTGCCTGTGGGTTCTGTGAGAGACCCCAATGGTTCTCCAATAAACTCCCTGCTTGCTTATGCCACCAGAGTTGGTTTCTGCTGTTTGCAACCCCAAGGGGCTTAACTAAGATTCCACGTAAATGCATTTGGCTTCACCCCCATCCTCTTCACAACCACTTTGGGGCAGGTGGAGCAGGGCATCTTTTTAAGATCCGTAGGTCAGAAGCCAGTGGAAGAGAACGAGAAAACTTTCCTTGCCATCCTTCTACCGATCAGTTCTCGAATTTAGGGGCCCTGGCTTTCTACTTTCCATAATAAGGAAGACGGAGAGAAGCTGCTTCCCCAGATATTCAGGATAGCAGAGCAAAGGTTACATGATAGGCAGAGTTTCATGCTCTCTACCGCGTCCAGGTATTATTATTATTTAATATTTCTACAAAACTGTGTGATAAGCAAGGAAGTACATTCTCCACCCAGGCTTACAATAATAAATAAAATCATTCCAAAACAAGGGGACAAAAAGTTCTTTCCCCAAGAGCTTAGAGGGGAGAGGCACGTCGAACAATACAGGACAGCGATGTGGCCTGAGATGTGTTCAGGAAGTTTTAAATAGACCGTGTCGCAGTGTGGTCAGGTTTCCAGGGGCTTTTTGAGAGAGCAAAGGGAGAGCTATTTGGATGGCCTGGGGCCAGCGTGCTTATGGGGGGAGGGGTCCAGGTCCTAGGACAGTGTACCCCTCCTCCAAGGAGCCGCTGGTCCTCAGGCTTTAAGTTTTGGAATCTTCAACTTATTAAGAAAGAGGGTAAGAGATTACAACAAAACAAAACAAAAACAAAGAAAAAAACAAAAACAAAAAACCCAACCAACCAAACAAAAGCGCCTTGGCCATTTCACCAAATCTGCTTTTATTTTAATGACTCTGAGATGCAGATCTTCTTTCAATATTCTGCTTGCTGATTAATTTCCTGTTGACTCTGAAGGTAACTAAAAACCTCTTGGATGAAGCAGAAATAGCCCTAATGCAAGTGATTCTTAGTAATGGGATTGAGTCACTTGGGACAGCCTTCAGGGGCTTCCTCTAAGCTCCTCGTGAGTGGGCGCTTTTTGGCACTTGATAATGTAAAATGTGTCTTCTCATAAACATGTTCAACATAAAGTCATTCTCCTCTCTTTTCCAATGTCCTGGGAAGGTCCACCTCTGTTCACTTCTAGAAGCACAGCACTAGCCAAAGTTGTGAAATCGGCTCTGCCTGCTGTCCTCCTTCTGCCCAGATCCCTTTCTTTGACCTTTCCCAGCAGTTTTTGACACTTACCTCGCTCTCCATGTTCAGATTCCTCATTTTGATGTATTCACTCAGTTATTACAACCTGCAGAAAGAAAACACTTTTATATTAGTCATGTACACTTGAGTATGAACTTACATCAGATTACTTCTCCTAGGGGCACTCACCTATATAAACCCTTGCATTTGAAGGGCAGGGAGGTTTAAGGGAAAAAAACAGGGCGATGGTTGTTCAAGGACTCCAAAATCCCCTTCAGCTGAGTTTCTTGGGCCAGGCACTTCACTTCTTAGCCTTGATTTATTTTCTTAATTCTATAACATCAGAGGTTTAACTGGATCATTTCTAATAGCAGGGGGGATATTTGAGGAGAGCTGGAGCCTCCCCAGGTCTCGGAGCCAATCACATTGTGTTCAGCCTCTTTCATCTAAATGCCAAGGGATCCAAGGGCACCTTCCAGCAACTGAGATCCAATGTCTGAAGATTTTCTGTCTGGGAAAGTTCCTGCCAGGATTTAATGCAAGGAAAGCCACATTTATTATTCTGGGTATTTATTCACACCTAAAGTTTCTAATACTAACTTCCTAAGACTACTTAATACGGCATGATCACCACGAAATAAGTTTAAAACTAAGAAATGTAGTAACACACCAGCCCTAAGCTCTCCGTGGAACTGCCAGCCGCCTCTTGTCCCCACGTGTGTGCTTCCCACGTGGCTCCCCAGACAGCACAGTGGTTTCCAACCTTGGCTGCACATAAATCCCCTGAGGAGCTTTTAAAAGCGTGGTGCCCAGGTCACCTCCGGGACCAGCTACGTCAGCCTTTCTCTCTGCAGTGGGACCAGACCACAGTATCTGAAAAGCCTTTGGAATTCCAGCTTTCCTCAGCATTGGGGGGCTCCTTTCAGGATGTACGGAGGACCCAAGGATCCTCGGAGGAGAGCGCATCTCCCAACCCGTGGCTGGCTGGAGGAGTTACTCTACCTCACTTTTCTTCTTCTTCTCAAAATCTCTGTAGGTTGAGGAGTCTCCATTGCATTACTTCATTTCACTTGGAAAATCATACTTTGCATGTACCTTCTTCTATTCAGCCTCATTTAACCTTGAATACCCCACAGGTCAGCCTCTTGGGCATCCAGTCGCTCAGACTCTGGGGTCTTCTTGTCCTTTAATATGCTCAGTTAAGGCCACCTGGGTGGCTCAGGGGGGTTGAATGTCTGCCTTTGGCTCAGGGTGTGATCCCAGGGTCCTGGGATCGAGTCTCTATCGGGCTCTCAGTGGGGAGCCTGCTTCTCCCTCAGCCTGTGTCTCTGCCTCTCTCTCTCTGTCTCTCATGAATAAATAATTAAAATACTTAAAAAAAACATGCCCCATTAAATTTAAGTGTTCGCCCAATGTATCTAAGGATTCCTAGGGATCTGCATTTCCATTGACACCTCTTCTTGCCCTTCTGTCTACTCTCTGTATTATCTCCTACCACCATCATCCATCTTTCCCATTTTTCTCCATGGTCAACACCCTTCCCATTCCTTCATTCTCTCAAAGCACCATTCACAAAGGACTGTGTGTGTAACAGGTTTTATGGAGAGTTTCGTGCTAATAACAGGCATTATTGCATGGAACACCACAGGCATCAATTTAAAATTGAACATCAAACTTCTCCATCCCAAGATCCAGCAGCCATGGAAAATTCCAGTCACATGGAAGTATTTTTTATTTTTTGGCCACGCCTACTCAAAAGACTTTGTCATCTCTTCTTTTGCTGTTAGACTCTATTCCCCCAAATTCCTGATCATTTTTTAATGCGAGGAAATTCACCTTTCAACATCTTGGGCTAAATAAACTAGCCCCTGATGACTTTAACACATCTCCCTATGCTCATTTGCTTGGCAAAACAGAGGGCCCAAAGCATAAAGGAATGCACAGAGATCAGCCTAACATTTTCCTTTTATCCCACTCACTTTTCTGAGCAGAGACACTCTCTGAGGTCATGACTTCCATGGGTCTGCTCTCCTTGTTCTGTTGTACCCATTCTGGTCTGATATCAATTTCTTGATCTAGCAATCAGTCCATAGCTGAGGAGCTATGAGATCTCTCTGCTAGATGCTGGTGTAGGCAGCAAAACATCGGAGCTGGAGGGACTCAAGGGTAGCCCAGCTCCTCCACTTAGGGGTGAGTAAAATAAAGAGCAGCCTGGTATCATCAGCCAGGGAGAGTGGAGTGGTCTGTGGTGGGCACTCAGGCCTCCCAGATTCACACACAGATGTACAGCAGTGTGGCCTTGGACTAACTTCTCTTTGTTATTATTAGCTTTGAGGCTAATAATAGAATCCATCTCATCATGCCAATAGGATAAATGAACGATTGCATGCAAATGCGCTGGGAATAGTGTTTGCACACAGTACATCCTCAATCTTACTATGACCTAGGGTCCCACAGTCAGTTAGGAAAAAAAAAAACAGATTGAGAATCCAAGCCTTTGATCTCTGTCCTCTGCACCTCCTACACGTCGAGGTACTAAAAGATCACATAGGTAAGTTTTTTGCAAAATCTTGCCATCTGGCTGGGTAAACAAAGCCAAAACATCTAAAACAGTCAAGGCCAGCCATTAAGGAATGACTGAAGGAATAAAGCAGTGCTTCTCAAGCAGGGCTACACATTAGCATCATCTGGGAGATTTTTCAAAGTCCTGATGCCCAGACCATACCCCAGACCAATTAAATCAGAATCTCTAGGGGAGCGTGGGACCCTTAGCAGCAACATGTTTTAAATTTCCCAGGTAATTTCAGTATTTAGCCAAGGAAGAAAATCACTGATTGGAGCAATCATGACCCTAGCCCGCCCCCCTGCCATGGGCCATCTCAGATCAAAAAGGGGACACGATTTGCTTCTAATCACAAGTACTTTGGAAAAGAATCTCAAGACTCCTCATTCAGTTATTTTTTTAAATTCTTATTTATTTTTAAATTCAGCTATAATTAACATACTCCTAAGTGGAATTTAAGAAACCGAACAAATGAATAAAGGGGGTGAAAAGGTCACTATTTTTTTAAAGCTACCATTGATTAGGACTTTTGTGTGCCAGGCTGGACCCTTCTGGTGCCTTACCTCGCTGACACAGCACAACGATCCAGTGAGGCCGGTTCTATAATGAGTCCTGCTTTATAGATGTGGAAACAGGGCTTGGAGAGATGAAGTTACTTGGCCAAGTAGCACAGTGACAATGTTCTTGGATCCGGGACTCAGGCATAGGCCTGCCAGCCCTGAGCCCATGGACGCAGACCATGACTTGCTCTCACCTCTCTGCCCCCTGAAGCGTCCTTTCTCAGAAATCCTTCTCTCCCCTGCCACCCACAGTCTGCAGGCAGAGCACTTCCCAATCCGTCCCCACCACCTCCACCCTCCTCAGCACCATGACCCAAGCCCCAATGTCTCATTTTTATAAAATATTGTTCTGCTTTTGCCTTTGCTCCCATCTCCATGCCCCCAAAGAGACCAACTGTCCCCTCTCTCTGTCACAAATATTTATACAGCCTTTTTCTTGCTAATTCCCACTGTTAGTTCCCTTCCCATTTCTAGCTACTTTTACATCTGGACTGCTGAACTTCTTTATAGCCTCCCCAGCCTACTTCTACTAAAAATATTCAGCACAGTGTAAGGCAAACCTTTGTCCTCATCTGCTGTGTTCTCATCCCCAGTCTTCCAGAGTATAATTACCTCGCTCTGAAAAGCCTTCATCAAAAGAGCTTACATTTTCTTTTCCTTTCTAAAGCTAAATTCCTTACTATGATGTATTAATTATCTATTTCTGTGTAACACTATTACAGCAAAATTACTAGCTTAAAACACCACACATTAATTATCTCATGGTTTCTCTTTGTCAAGAGCCCAGGAACAACGTAGTTGGGTGCCCCGTCCATTATCTCTTGAGACTCTCATTGAGGTGTGGATTGGGGCTGCAGTCTTATACGAAGCTTAACTGGGGAAGGATCCACTTTTGAGCTCATTCAGGTGGCTGCAGCATTCAGTGACTTGCAGTTGAAGGACTGAGCACTTTGATTAGGAACCCAAACTTCAGCTCCTTGTCATAACATATCCTCCACAGACAGCTCACAACAGAAGCAGTTTTCTTCTTCAAAGACAGCAAAGGAGGAGGTCTCCTTCCAAGTTAAGGATTACAATCAGGGCAGCCCGGGTGGCTCAGCGGTTTAGTGCTGCCTTCAGCCCAGGGTGTGGTCCTGGAGACCCGGGATCGAGTCCCACGTCAGGCTCCCTGCATGGAGCCTGCTTCTCTCTCTCTCTCTCTCTCTCTCTCTCTCTGTCTCTCATGAGTAAATAAATTAAATATTAAAAAAAAGAATTACAATCATCTGTACTATGATCACCTACACATAATCTTAGTCTAATTACCTTTGCCATGTCCTGTTGATTAGAAGCAAACCAAAGGGTCTGTCCACGTTCAAAGGAAGGGATAAAGACATGGATACCAAGAGGCAAAGATCATGAAGATAAGCCTCCTTAGACTTCGTCTTCTACAATGGGCTGCCAGCACTATTCCCTCCCCCAAATCCTGCTGCTCCTTCTGAGTATTCCCTCTTCTTTCTACACCTCCTCTTCCTGCCTCCTGGTCTTTGCCCAGATTGCCCCAAATTTGGAGGGCAAGGGAAGTGAAATTTCTTCCACACCCCAACCCTTGCTCTAAGGACAGGAAAGGCATTTAGGCAGAAGCCCTTCAATGTCAGTTAAGGTCATACAATTTGGCAATGTAACCCAGGGTAAAAGGGGTCAAATTCCACCCCCCCAACATAAAAGGGGCTCAGCACAAGTTTACATGAAATAGTCAAATGTATGCAGATGAGAGGAATATGAGTTTGTCACGTTAATCAAATGGCTATAGTTGGAAGGAAATTAACCCTGTTATGATGAGGTGAGTTTAATTTTGGACATTCAAAGAGAAAATAAATCATAAGCCAGGGTGGAAACCCTTCCACTCTTTCCCACTGGCCCAAACTCACCCATGTAGATGATATAGATACAGATACAGATACAGAGATAGAGATAGAGATAGAGATAGATGATATAGATACAGATACACTGCCCCCTTTAAGCCAGTCATCTCAGAGATCAGAACTCACTCTTTTTCCTAATGAATCAGCAGAAGTTAGGCTGAGGAGAAAGCCCATTACAAAGGATGTAAAAAACAAGAAAATACCAAATGGTGTAGGACTTGATCATTTCCCTAGGGAGTGGTAAGTTTTACCTTGGAAAAAAGGTATATGAGAGTATGAATCAGAATTAGTCTGAGCTATAAAAACTACAAAATTCCCAAATAAGAATGACTTAAACAAAAATGAAGATTGTCTCTCTCTCATGTTCAAGAAGTCTGAAGATAGCCAGAGCAAGGTTGGTAAATAATGCATGGGGGCAGAGAAGCAGACTCCTCTATGCTGCTGTGCCAAGTCCAACTTCCATTCTCAAGATAACTTCATGGTCAAAGTGATTGCC